GTCTCGACATCCTAAGACACTGTGGCAAGGAGTTTTCAAACCCTGCTCGTTCTCTGCCCTCCAGAAGAAGATGGAGACAAGGGTCTGTGTGCTTGGGGTAAGATTTCTCTGCCCAAATAGGGTCTCTTTGAGAGCCAAAGACAAGACAAACCCAAGAGTCAAGATGGTTCAAGGAGACTCAGTCCCTCCAGCGCTCCTGACCCTTCGTCCTACAGTTAAGGCCTCCATCATCAGAGTTTTGTCTCATTGCACGGTGTAGCAAACACCCTGCCTTCCCCAAAATGCAAGCTCAGCACTCCAGTGAATGGGCTGGCATGACTGAGAGGAAGGAAGCCTCCTCCACAAAGGACCGAAAACCCTGCCTGAACACCAGCACCCACCTGGCCAGCGGAAGCCATTGGTGGAGGAGGTGGCTCACAATGGTGTCCAGGTGCTGATGGGCCAGGGTGGAGATCGCCTCCATCAGGACCTCCTCCAAGCCATACTGCATGGTGGTTGGCAGGTGGCTGCAGAAAAGGTCCAGGAGCCCTGGGATCTGGAAGGAGAAAGACAGGGAAGAGACACGGCTCATCTTTTTTTGTTCTAGTAAGGTAAGGTAAAGGTTCCTCTTGACATTTAGTCCAGTCATGTACGCCTCTAGGGCGGGTGCTCATTCCTGTTCCCAAGCCATAGAGCCAGCGTTTGTCCGAAGACTAGACACGGAATGCCGTTACCTTCCCACTGAGGTGGTACCTATTTATCTACTTGCATTTTTACACGCTTTCGAACTGCTAGGTGGGCAGGAGCTGGGACGAGCAACGGGAGCTCACTCTGTCATGTGGATTTGATCTTATGACTGCTGGTCTTCTGACCCTGCAGCACAGAGGCTTCTGCGGTTTAACCCACAGTGCCACCAAGTCCCCTTGTTCTAGTAAAGGTTATTTTAAAAAGATAACCCTCTTGATTATTTAATCATAAAAATAATGTCTGGTTTAATAAGTTTGTTTGTTTGCTTGTTTGTTTTTTTAACAACAACAGCAGTGACCATACACAGCTCTCCCTGAAAGAGAACATGGATCATTTCTACAAGTGTTTGTTTTGCTGAAATTGATCTGAACAGAAACCAATCTCCAGCAGGGAAGTCATAACCACAGCAGCTCCCCATCTCCCCAGTTTTGGGGGTGAGATTGCTAAAAGAATAGGGCATGTTTAGCCTTGAGAAAAGGAGACTGAGGAGTGACAGGAGAGCACTTTTAAAATATTTGAAAGTCTGTCATACAAAGGAAGGGCAAGATCTGTTCTCGATCATCCCAGAGTCCACGGCACGCAACAATGGGCTCAAGTTACAGGAAGCCAGATTTCGGTTGACTATCAGGAAAAACGTCCTAACTGTTAGAGCAGTGCGACAGTGGAACCAGTGACCTCAAGGGGAGTTGGCGAGCCCTCCAACACTGGAGGCATTCAAGAAAAACTTAGATCATCCCCTGGCAGATCTGCTTTGATGGTCTTCCAGCGCTGAGCAGGGGGTTAGACTTGATGGCCTTGTAGGCCCCTTCCAACTTCCATTTTCTATGATTCTGTGATTTTATGATCACACCCATGATCAAGAAAACATTTGACATGCAATGCACACTCCATCCATTAGGTCCAGTAATGTCTGCAAATGCTCTTCTGCACGTGTAAACAGCCAGTAGGATTCTGGCCATCCTTTTAAAACTGAAATTTGCAAATGCCCAGAAAGTGCTGGATCTGGAACCCAGATGGCCCTTAAAATCAGAGGGGAGCCCCTTCCGGAGATCCAGCAGCTGCGCACAGAGACTGTGGGCCAAACCCACCCCCGCTCCCATACCCACCACCTCAAAAAGGTTGCTTCTTTCAAAAGGAAGAAGTCCCGTCATGTCCTCTATGGACCAATTTTTAAAAGCGTCTGGGGCGGGTGTGGGTGCCCATGGGTGCTGGTGGCTGCCAAAGGATGGCAAAAACATTTCCGGGAGAGCTCACAAGGAGAGTCTCTAATTTTTCTTCTGAAAAGGGAGGGAAGGGCTGCGGAGAATTCAGAGTACTGTGGGGCTGCATTTAGGCCTCTGTGGGGCAGCCTATGGCTCACGGGTTTCACTTGAGCAGCCCTGCTTCACATAAAAGTTCTTGATGGATTTCAAAAAGATGGGAAAGAAACGAATTGCTAGGCACAATTTCACGTGAAGTTACCATGTATGTTGTTTAACAGAACTTGATCTACGTTTGGATGCGGCCAAAAAGACCGTCCGAAGACCACTTTGTCCAGAGGAGGGGCCAAACTTGAGAAGACCATTGAGATGAACGGAATGGGGAGAAGGGCCTTTCCCACCCCCTCCGGCACCCAGAATCCGCCAACAAAGGTGGACACAGCTCTGCCGGCTGGGAAATTCCGGATTCTACAGAACCGAAGAGGTTTGAAAAAGGAACTTCCCAAACTCTGGTTCAGGGTCCTTCTGGCAAAGCTTAAAACGACAGAGGCCAAGCTCTCTTTCTGAATTCTGCATCTGCTGGCCGGACCCAAGGGCAGTGGTCGCAAAGGCTCACCTGGCTCTTTATCGCATCCCCACGGTTTTGGAGGAGGGCGAGCAGCAACCCCCAGCCCTGGGACAGACGGGGATCCTGGAGGCGAGGTCTTCCAGGAGGGCTTCCACGAAGTCTGGCACCTGATCTTCAGGGAGGTGGGTGCTCACCACCTGCCCCCCCCAAAAAGAAAGCCTGGTGTTCAGGGGGCAGGGCTTGCTTTTTGTGTCACTGACAGGACAAGAGGGCTCTGGAGATGACTTGAAAAACATCTTGTTCTCCGTGATTTTTGAAGTGGTGCCATCCTGGGATTCTGAGCTGAGTAAACAAAAGACCACTAAGCCTCTCTCCCCTTCTCCCCCCTCCCCACGTAATAGATCAGTGTCAGATCTTTCTCTGTGGTTGCCTTTCCCTTTCCCCATGGACTTGAACAGGGTCTTCCTGGAGATCCAGGAAGGCCTAAACAGGGGCAGAGCCCTGAGCGAGGATTGGATTCTCTCCCAGAGGACACAGGATGGGTCAGGCCACCATTTCTAGGTTCTTCTTCACAAATGGGGGAGATGGGAGAGGGGGCCCCTGCATGCCAGGATTTCAGACCTCGGCACCTCATCTCAGAAAGGACCGCCCGACACATGAACCTGGCCATTGACTTTCAGCATTGAGAAAACAGAATGTGAACCCATCTGGGACAGGGAGGTCATCCAGACTCTAGGGGTGCTCCCCAAATGGGGCCAGTCACCTTAGCCAGTCTGGCCGAGGCCCCAACCGGATCAGGGGGGACTTCCGCTTGCAGATCGCAGAGGGCGGACTCCATTTCTTTTTCTTCCTCCTCTGTGATTCTTGACCGGCCTGGAAAAGAAAGATGGTGAAGAAAAACACAATGCTTGCATCATGCACTGCGTAGATTTTTTAAAAAACAATGGTTGTTGTGGGTTTTTTCGGGCTCTTTGGCCGTGTTCTGAAGGTGGTTTTTCCTAACGTTTCGCCAGTCTCTGTGGCCGGCATCTTCAGAGGACAGCAAACTGTGCTCTTTTTTAAAAACACATACTAAAGCTTGCTGGGTGACGTCATCCGCACATTTTGGAACGAGGCCTCCTCCTGCGTTAGTCATGACCCACCTTCATCCAGATTTGGGAATGGTGGCATTTCCCCATCCAGTAAAGAGAGAGGGGTTGTTTGTAGAAACAACGTCCTTCATACAAGATTTTGGGACTGGCAGGAGTGACACAAGCCATGTGGCCCATCTGGGAGAGGGCAGATGGAGACACCTGCGTCAGCGCTCATGGGTCAGTGTTAAACTGAAAACAAATTATTTGGAGTTAGCCATTTTGCTGAAAAGCTCTGAACTCAATTCATTCCCTTAATCCTAGGCAAGGAATTGGAATAGATTTAGAAGAGGTGTCCGTGTTAGTCTCTGCTAGCATATCTGGCAACCCCCCCCCCCAAAAAAGAAAGGAGACAATAATGTTGTGGCTCCTTAAAAACTGCTATATTTTAATGTGAGCTTTTGCAGACAAGTCCACTTCCTCAGATGTAAGTGTGGGAACACATGGCAAATATTTATATATTTATTAAAAAGGTAAAGGTTTCCCTTGACAAATGTCCAGTCATGTCTGACTCTAGGGGGCGGTGCTCATCCCCGTTTCCAAGCCATAGAGCCAGCGTTTGTTCCGTGGTCACGTGGCCAGCGTGACTAGACACAGAATGCCGTGACCTTCCCACCATGGTGGTACCTATTTATCTACTCGCATTTTTACATGGTTTCGAAGTGATCGGTTGGCAGGAGCTGGGACAAGCGACGGAGGCTCACTCTGAGGCGTGGATTCGAACTGCTGATCTTTTGACCTTGCAGCCCGGAAGCTTTTAGCGGTTTAACCCACAGCACCATGACGTCCCTTTTATATATTTATACATGGTCACAAACAAATGCATATGTATTTGTCATGCCTAAGAAGTGGATTTGTCCAGAAAAACCCATATTAAAATATAGCACTTCAGTCTTTAAAGGGCTGCAACATTTTTCTCTCTTTTAGTTTTTGTCTTTGTTTTTTGCCTGATAATGGAATGAATTAGTAACACATAAAAAGTTCTTGGAAGTAGCAAGAAAGGGCTCCCTATTTCTACGCTATCCCAAAAAAACTTCAAAGGAACATGGAACATTGACAGTTGGTCAACCTGGGATTGATGTTTTCATTTATTGATTAAATCAATGTTTTAAACAGGTTTCCAAAATATCTGATGGATGAAGGTCATCTCGTTCATTTCTCAAGAAATTATTTCCAAGCTCTGAGATGAAGCCACCTTGAAAGGACACTGTTTTCTTCCCTTGGGACCTTTGGCCTCCCCTTTTGGAGGATCTACTGATCCGTTTGGAAGTGGGGTCAATCTAAGCTTCCAAGAGGTCTCCCGGAGTCCTCACAGCCATCCAAATTAAATCCAGACGGAGTCACTCCAGGAACACCAGCAACCATGGAGTGAAAGCATCCACTGATATGCCTTGAAGCCCTCCGTTCTTGGAAGGGGGTCATACCCAACATTTATAAATGGATCCCATCTCCACCGCCAACGTTCTCACCTTGAATGCAGATCAAGTGGGTGATGCCCTTGGCCGCCCATCGCCGGCACTCAATGGAGCTCTCCCAGGTATATGGGGCTAGGAAGGCCACCCGGGCACCATAGGCTTTCAGATTTTCTCCATCTTACCAAGAAAAGTACAAAACCTATTGAAAGGGCCTCGGAAAGCCGGAGGACCAACCTGTCCTCTAAGATCTGTTCTGGAAGGGATCCTCCTAGGTTGGGAAGAGACATTGAAAGGAATAGCATATCATGGTTGCCAAGAGGGGACTGAGATGGGTTTTCTCTGTTTGTTCAAGCGAATGTCAAGGAAGCAAAGCAAGCTGATCTGCATAACCCCAGGGGTGACAAAGGTTTTTGCTCTGACCTGTAAACAGCCCTTTTTACTGCCTTGCTCCCCATGCTTAGGTAACATCAGGCTGACATGTGTGGAAGGAGAAGCGAGAAACGGGGCGGAAAGCCTCGGTGGTCTGCACGGGCCATAGCCATGTTGGGTCCGAGTTGAGCCCACCCGGCTATAGTGCCCCTCCATTGGAAGTGCCATGGTGGAAAGGGTGTGTAGTGGTCAAGAGAGAAGGCAGCATTTCTGTTGGAGACGCTCTGCTTAAGCAACCCTTTGGTCACCTTTGAGGTGTCAGTTCAACAAAGTCACTTTGGTGCTACTTGAGAAGGAAACCATCCTGTTTCTTTCCTTTAATGAAACAGAGGTAGCCCAAGAGCGGAGCAAGAATTACTTGCACCCCTCAGACAAAAGGCAGCCACTTCATCTAGACAGCTGTGGTCCCATCGCACTCAGGAAGAGTTTTCTCACATTTGTCTCCTCTGATCCAATGTCGGAGACCACGTAGGGTAAGTCATTAATAGGTGAAATAATTATTCTAAAGAGGCCACCAGGCTGGGAAAAGGCTGGTCTATATTCACTGAGCCAAACTTAAAAGAAACAGATGAGAGGCTTCCAGGGAGCCTGTCTTAATAGGGGGATTGGGGCCACATGGTCCTCTGGAGGAGGAGGAGGAGGAGGAGGAGGAAGAGGAGGGAAACTCACCGGAAGACTCGCCGTGGCCTGGAAGGCAGCCAGCACCTGGCAACTGGCCTGCAGGACCCTCTCTCGGATCCACTCTGATCGTGTCAGCCAGGGCTCCATCAGCTGGAGGCGAAGCAAGAACACAAAGCTCGAGTCAAAGAAGCGTCTCTGGTGAGGAAACTTTTTGAATTTTACAAAACTATCCGTGATATTGCACCAATGAATGGAAGCCAGGTGGTCCATCCACATCCTGCTGCCAAGCACAGCTGGCCACCAGAGACGGCCCTCCCACCCCCTGCCTCCTCACGGCATCCCGGGTGGAAGGAGGTGGAGAAAGCCCACGGGGAGGGAAGCCCCTGATCTGCAGGATCCAGACCGTCCACCCTTGGAGAACTCCTGGATCGGTCAGGGGCTTAGGTATCTCGCTGGGGAGCCAGATGTTGGGGGCTCGATTCCCCATGGCATGCCTCCTTGAGAGGGGCTGGACTTGGTGCTCCCTAAGGGTTCCTTCCAGCTTGGCAGCCCTAAGAGGCTGATTTCCTTCCCTGTTCAGGAAGCTTTCGCATCTGAGATAGCGGTCTGTGAGGCGCAGGCTAACTGGGAGACTGTGACAGACAGGTCAGGAACCACTCCTGTCCATCACAATGGAACCCTGATTCAGGAGCCAATGGCTGTACAGAAAATCCATCACAATGGGACTAGGGATATATAAGAGAATGGATGACAGTTAAAGAGCAGTTAGAGTCTGAGTTGGCAGTTAGAGAAAGGATTTGAGAATTAGAGAAATGAGTTAGAGTCTGAGTCTGAAGTTAGTGAGAGTCTGTGTTAGAGATGTCAGTTAGAGAGAAGAAATTTAGGCAGTTAAGACTAGCCTGATGTTAGAGAAAAAGAGAGAGAGAGAGAACATGATAAGAAATGAATAAATATCTTGACTGAAATGATTATAAATAAACAAATATAAATGTTACCAAAGCACAATTTATTGAATGAATAAATTGAGACCATCCATGATTTACTTTACAGTGGACCCTTGACTTACAGACGGCTTGACTTACAGACTTTTTGAGTTACAGACTTCTCTGGCCGCAAAATTTAGGTTTGACTTGCAGACTGAGATTTGACTTACAGACCAGAAAAAAACCAAAATGGAACAAAAACGGCCTGTTACGGGATTAATCGGTTTTCAATGCACTGTAGGTCAATGGAGACTTGACTTACAGACTTTTTGACTTGAGAACCGCCTTCCAATACGGATTAAGTTCTCAAGTCAAGACCCCACTGTATATGATTTACTTATGAACACTTTAATAAATATTGTTTAATTGAATCACAATGATTGAAGAGTCCTATTTGATATAGTGAGGAATATCTCCTCTGGTGGCAGCGGAAAAGGTTGGAAAATAACTGTCACACCCAAAAGTGAACCTGGGTTGTGTGGAGGAACAAACAGGGGAACTGGGTTCATGACATAAAGTGGTGAGCAGCGGTTGGGATTCGAAAGAAATCCAGTGAGCCAAAATAAAGAGTGATTTATTAGGGTGTGGGATTCAAATAAAATTCAGTGAGCCATAATAAAGTGAAATTTATTAGGCTGGCCACGAATGAAAAAGAAATCCAGAAAGCCTTAAAAAAAAAAAGAGAGAGAGAGATTGAGAGAGAGAAAATCTCTGAGTCTAAGAGACCTGGTTGTCAATAGTCCAACTGAAGGAGTAGGAAACCCTAAGGCTTAAGATGAATAGCTTGATAGGGACTCCTAAAAGTGTGGAAAGACAAAGGCAGGAAAAGAACTCTGAGGAGATTTCTATAGTTAAAAGTTTACCTCAAGCTGAGAGTGTGAGGACCAAGAGGGCTAGCTTTTGATCCCAAAGCTCTGAGAAAGGGAGAGCACTGAGGGGATCTAAAAGTGGAAGCCAAGGTCTAAAAGGAACAGCTGAGGTGAAAATAAATTAGGCTTACAAAAAAAAATATTGCTTGGAAAATCTGGGTGTCTGTAGACCAAGAGATATAAAGTAACAGACATAAGGAACAGCGAGGCTGAAGCCTAAAGATACAAGCTGCCAAAAGAAAGCTATGTAGTTAAAATTTCTAATACAGGAAAAAAGAGGTCATTTTAAACAGAGGCTTGTATATTGGAATTGGTGAGAAAGTAGCCTACCAACTTAATAAAAATATAAACGGTTAAGTATGACTTCCAAAAGAGGGAAGAAGTCAGTTATGGAACTTGCTGAGAGTCAGATTTTACCTCAGGAAGGGGAAATTTCAGATCAAGAGGGCCAGGAATATGAGAGCCCAAGGGAACAGGAGGGTGCCTCAGGGGGAGAAAACTCACTGGAGTTTCAAAAAAGGAAAATAGAGAAAGAATATGAATTCCGGTTAAAACAATTGCGAATGAAATTATCAGCCCAGAATAAAAATACTAACAATGATTCGAATCATGGGGGAAATATATCAAAAACAGCTGAAAATATAAAAGAAGTAATAAACTCAAAGTATTCTGAGAAAAAAATTGGAGGGGGAAAATGGAAAGACAGAACCCAGAGAGTACGTCAAAGATGAACTGGCAGTTGGAAGCCATTTTAGAGAGAGCCCCTCAGAGCAGTACCAACAGATGGGTAAAAGCTTTGAAGAAAAGGGAGACAGAACCCCATGTAATGAACAAAGAAATTAAAAAACTTATTTTGGTGTTGGGAAAGCAGATCATTATATTTCAAATTGTGAATTTATTAAAAACAAAGAAATGGGACAACAGAAAACAGGGGGAGTTTTACCTAAAAAGATGCATTATATACAAAAGCAGAATGAGGATTCTAAAGTGAGCCAAGATGGCAGCTTAACTGATTCATAGGAGCAGGAGCAACTGCCTCCTCTAGCAGAGATAGTCCACTGTTATTACATTAAAACTAACAGGGAATTGATGAAGTCATCTGGAGAAAATATTTATATTAATAATATCAAATATCTGGCATTGAGAGACTCTTGTTCTCAGATAACTATATGTCATACAGATATTTTTCCCCAGGAAGACATCATTCCAAATGAGAAAAAATCAGTTAAAGGAATTGGGACAGAAGTGTTATAGTGGCTGTTTCACACGAGATCCACTGTATAAATTATCAAGGGTGGGCTGGTAAATTTATAGTGGCTGTTTCACACGAGATCCATATGCCTTGTTTAATTGGTTTAGATTTGATTAATTATATTAAGACTTATGTGATCACCACACATTCACAGACAGAAAAGATAGAAAATCTTTATGGAAATAGTGAGGTTCCTGAAGAAGTTATAAGTGTTAGCCAATCACCTGAACTGGGTTCGTGACAGAGACGTCGAGAGGAGGGCCACGAGGATGATCAGGGGACTGGAAACTGAGCCCTGTGAGAAAGGCTGGAAGAAGTGGGCCCGGTTTCTTTCCTGGTTTGTTTTTGCATCTCCCTCATGGTGAAGATAGCTCTTTTATTAAATTCAGATTTATTGGTCTTCTATACCATCTCCAAACTAACTCGTAACTATTTCCCTTCACCCTTACAGACATACTTTTCATTATTCTTTCATTTCTGCATTTTACTCCAATCTTCCATTTTAATTTCCTCACTCAAATCTTCTTGCCACATCTCTTTTAACACACTGGTTAATATTCTGCCTGTATTAACATCTTCTATATTATGCTTATTTTTCCCTTTTTATTTTTCCCCATCTCTCTTTCTTCCTCTTTTTCTATAATCTCAAATTGGGTCATTTTCCTACCCTCTCCTTGTTTCGTTTTCCAATCTTTCATCCATTTTTCTAACTGAAGTATATTTAACCACAGCACCCCCTCTCCCAATCTCTCTCTTATACATCCCCTACCTTGCATTCGTTTTGTCCATTCCTTTATCTTCATAATTCCCTTGAAACCTTTTGAACTTCCCTTTAAGATTATCGGAGGATTTTTTTCTTGTTTTGATTTCTACAATGTGTGACAAGGGTGAAGACTTAGGGGGTGGACTTAAGGGGACGTATATACATGTGGGAAATAAGGAAGACGGAATGGCCAATGATTTTTGAGGAAAGAAGAGGAATAATTGGTGTGGAGGTTCAAATACCCCCAAGGATGGCTTTGTTGAATCTGGGTAAAAATCGTCAATGGAAGAGAGAAGAAATCCAATTAATTCCTATAATGGTGATGGTGGGAAGGTTAATATTTGCGAAAAAGCTGGAAATGTAATCATACACTTTCTCTGTACCACTTCTCCATAGTAAGTGGATTATGGCAAATAATGATAAATTAATGTGAAATTAAGATTAGAAGAGGAATGGCAAAAAGGTAATGATTTTAAACAAATATGGAATTTGGTTTTGGTACATGTGTTGCAGAAAAGGAAGGAGTATACACTGGGGGAAAAGAAACAGTGTGTTACTGGAGAGAAATGGGAAGATTTGAAATACAAGAATGAAGAGGAAGGAACTAGTCCCGCCTGGGGGTGGGTGGGTTGCACAATGTGATGAAGAGGAGTTGGTTAAGTCATAAGTGGTTATCATCATCATCATCACCACCACCACCACCACCACCACCATCAGGGTTCTATGATCCTCCCCTAATTGCCAGGGAATGTGAGACCTTTAGCTTTCAAAGACCAATCGCGAAACAAGTCAAGTGGAGCCACGAATTACGGGAGGTGAGAGAAACTGCTGCGGTGACCATCAGATGATTTCAGTCATCGTTTGCTAATTACAGATTAACTTCAGTTAATAACTAGCCCGTCCTATTGACAACTTTACCACCAGACTGAATGTCAATGTCAATGAAGGGGATTTCCTCTTGAGGGCATGCCCGGTGTTTACCTGGATCATTTCCTCATTCCTCTCTGAGGTTGGATTTTCCTTCACGAGGACCTGGATGAGATTCCCCACGGCTTCCATGGACCTGGTGTGCTTGATCTGAAAGCACAACCCAAACCATGAGGTCAGAGAGCAGACCCCATTCCCCTGATGCTCCTCCTGTGTCAGAGGATGGGCAAAGCACGGCTCAGCGAAGAGCGGAAACAGACAAGGCATTCACCTCCCACTGTTAAAAGTGGAACTGCCTTTAGAAGGAAAGGGCATTCGGTTATTGTGCAAGTGAGGGTCTGTAGCTCTTCAAGTGGCAAAGGAGCCTGTTTCTGTTCAGCAATCATTCACTGAGAAGGAAACAGTGGGGGTTGTTTGACTATCGATTACACGGAACAACCACCCATTTCAAGAATGCATCTCTGATGCATCTATAGTTGTCCGTCTGCAATGAAACCAGGTAGTTAAAGCAGCCCTTTGGGATCCAAAACAAAAAAGGTATATTTTAGGATGCCCAAGAGGATGTTTCGGGGAAACCTACAAGCAGATTTTTAAAAGGAGGACCTGGAAGAAAGCGTTCCTCACCCACCTCTATATCGGAAGCCTCCTGCTCCGTCCTGGTCCTCTTTTTCAGGCGCTCCAGGGGATTGGGAACAGGCAACCGGTGATGAGATCCAGCAGACGCCGGAGGTCTTCAGCCGGCAGGCACGGCTTGAGTTGGCTACTGGAAGAAAGGTGGGCTGAGAATTCAGACAGAGGTTCACAAATGTCCCCCCGAAAGAGAACAGCAGCCCAAATCTCAGTTTGGCTGCTTCTACTTTTGATCTACATGTTACAGCCTCATGAAAAGAAACCAGACGGCCTGTTTCTGTATCATCATTGGACAGTCCAGCACAGCAGCTTTGAAGGACTGTGTCTCTGGAGGGAAAAATTCCCCACCCATCTCATGAACACAGGGATTGGCAAGGAGGATCCTCCATTTCACATTGCTTACAGCCTCATGAAAAGAAACCAGATGGCCTGTTTCTGTATCGTCATTGGACAGTCCAGCACAGCAGCTTTGAAGGACTGTGTCTCTGGAGGGAAAAATTCCCCGCCCATCTCATGACCACAGGGATTGGCAAGGAGGATCCTCCATTTCACATTGCAGAGATGCTGCCGTCCCTCACTCATTGCTGCCTGAGACACGCCTCCCTGGCCCAGCTGGCTTCTTAGCTCTAGATCGCTTACCTGATAGAGACTAAGGCTGTGATGGTTGTTGGGCAAAGGGATGTTTTGAAGAAGCGTGCCCTTCCAAGAAAGTCCTGAAGACACAAAAGGGGGGATGCATGGAATGAAAAGGGGGCAAAGCAGCGAGGAGTGGAGACCATGGGTCCATTCACACCCCAGGGTCTACAGCTCAAGTTCTCCTTCCGATGGCCAAGAAGGGGGTTGAACCTGTTTCCCTGAGGGGTAGCATGCTCACCAAAAGAAGCTTTGCTCCAACTACACCCCCAAGATCTGGGTGTGGACCTCATCGTGAAAGCCCTCCAAGAAGGGATTCCACTGAGAGGTTCAATCAGCCTCCTTCGTGTCACTGGGAAGACCCCGGAGAGACCCCCACACCCCCTTTGTGCTTTGTGGGAAGCCCACCGGAGACTTCAGGGCCCCCTCCTGGCTTACCAACAAAGTCTCCAGTAACTCTGTTTTGCAGTCCAGCTGGAAGTCGGCGTCCTGGGCTTCATGAACAGCATTGCAAATGTCCATCACGTTGTTGCAGAATGTCACTTCCACGGGGGTGCCCTGTTTTGCCCAAAGAACCCGCATGGTTAGAAGGACAGGTTGTGACAGAGTGGCGGTATTTCAAGGATTACCCCAGGAGGTGATAACCAGCAGAGCTTCCCAAAGTGAAATGAAGACACAGGCAGCAAACAATCTTGATAGTAGAATATATGTATTATATACAGGATATGTACAGGTATATACACAGCATAGTTCTTGTCCAGTTCCAATTGTCATACACGGCAGTTCCACAGAGTACAGAATGCATAAATCAGTGTCAGAGTCCAGTAAATAGTCAAGGTCAATATATCATGCAGTCAGTCCGGTTCACCAGAGTTCCTCTTCTCCCAAGCTCGTAGATACGGCTTCCACAGGAGTCTCCAGCTTAACAACAGCACTCCATGACCAACAGCAACACCCACAACAACCCACAATGGTGTCTGCTTGGTCTCCTGGCTATATCCCAGTGATTAGCCAATCCTGTGATTGTTCATCCTGCTGATACAATCAGCTCAGCTGCATTAACTCATGCTTAGCTTTACTTTACAGCTCTGATCCTTACAATACTTAGATCTTGTTGCCAAACTGCATTTAACAATTTACTCAGGTTTATCCCAAACCTGACAGGTTGGGACTGGGGGCCCCTCTCAGCCTAAACCCCCCAACAGGGCTATGGGGAGTGAAAAAGGGTGGGGGGGTGTCAGGCCTTGATCGTCCCAGGTAAGGCAGTGAATGTCCAAGGGGCATCCATTTCCTCCTGCTTGGCCAACAGGTGACTGGCCTGCCTAGATTGTATTGATTTCACTCCCGTCTGCCGGGAGATTGAGAACTTGGGAGCGGCCACCGAGAAGGCTTTCTCCTGCTTTTCCACCCCTTTTGCCTTGGGAGAGGATGGATCTCTCTCAGAAATTTTAAAACCCGGAAAGGCTCTTGGGAGAGAAGGCTGCCAGTTGAAGAGCCTGGCCCCCCGTCCGGGACCCTTCCTTCCAGAAGTCTGTAAAAGCACCAGCTGTAGAAACAGCCGTGAGCAAACCCCAATGCAATGGGGATGGAAAGGAACATCTTTTACAGCAGGGGTCCCCAACCTTTTTTAGCCTCGCGGACCTGCTGGGGAAGTCAGGTCACCCCCCCCGCGCTTGTGCGCATGTGCAAATGAGTGTGCGTGCTCTCACACTGGTGTGCGCGCACTCCTGTGCATGCTCAAAAAGGAGCTGGCAGTGTTTGTATGGGGGTGACACGCTTATGCACATGCGGAAAAGGGTGTCACACTTGTATGGGCACGCGCAGGCATGTGCGCATGCAGAAAGGGCCAGCACAGCGCTCAGGGGGTGCTCATGTGCGTCCATGAAGAGGTGGGTGAGTGCTCACATGGGCACAGGCACATGCGCGCAGGCGCAAACAGGCCTTGCGGGAAGGGAGTGCGTGCAGGGGTGGGGGTGGGAGGTCTGTCTCTGCAGCCCGGTCCGTCTCAGGCCACAGACTGGCACAGGTTAGGGTTAGGGCCGCAGACCAGGGGTTGGGGAACCTACTTTAGCAGGGAGCCTCTGTTTGCTCCCAGTCTCCTGCTTCCCCCTGAAGGGAAACGATTTGGACAGGCTGATCACATTCAGATCCTCTTAATAGCTTACCTTGTTCTCAGTGGTGACACCCAGGAGCTGAAATATGAAATGGAGAAGGTTGGCTGTAAGGTAGACATTGCAAACCAACAAACGACATGAGACGGAGGTTTGGTTTCGTTTATGCAACATTTCTCTCCTACCACAAACCCAAAAAGGCAGCTGACCTTATTTTTTTTAAAAAAAATGCTAAAAACTCAAGTCTTGGGCCAAGAAAAAAAAGTTTTGCTAAGCAAATGGTGCAGAACAATCAGAAAATTTTTCCCCCTCAAATGTTTGGATTATTTTTTTATTGTTCTAAATGGGAAAAACCCAAAAGCGAAATGGCAAGTGGCATATATCACCCCCGCTTGCTATGAATGATGGAAGTGAGATTTAAGGGTTAATACAAACATTAAGAGTGATACATATACAGTGGTGCCTCACATAACGAGCGCACCATTTAACGACAAATTCGCATAGCGATCCGTTTTTTGGGATCGCTAATGCGATCGCATACCGATGCCTAGATAGGCAAAAACTCGCTTTGCGACGATCGGTAAGCATTTCGCTTACCAATCTTCGCATAGCTTTTTTTAAAAATCAGCTGATCGGCGGTTCCAAAATGGCCGCCGGAAGACGCAAAATGGCCGTGCGCAGCGTTTTCCCAGCCTGCCCTCGCTTACCGAGGGCGCGAAAATACCTCCGCTATGGAGGAACATTGCATAACGGTGAATTTGGGGCCCATTTGGAACGCATTAAACGAAGTGGGCTTCGTTTAATGCATTCCAAATGGGCTTTTTTGCACCGTATAGCAATGTTTCCCCATAGCGATGGTTAATCCGGAATGGATTAACCTCGCTATGCGGGGCACCACTGTATTCTGCCTGTTTCTCTCTCTGTATGTTTTTCTTTCTGCCCCCACAAAGGGATTTCCTCAGAGCCAGATGCCCAGGCAATCAGAGATTAACACTGAAGGGAACCCCTTATGAAACAAAGCATACAAGATGCAGGATATGAAAGTGATGAAAATCAGATACAATGGCAACCAGACCTCTTTTACCACTTGAGGAGCACCTCTTCCAAATCGTATCCTCTAGTTCAGTTCTCAGTGAGGTAAGAAAAGACTAGAAGCTAATGCACCCTGAGCGATAAAAGGTGCAACTCTGCACCTGACTTTTAGGGCAGGTGACTTTGCTTGTGTCTGAAGGGAGGTGAAATCCCACCCTTCCCTTCCCATCACTCCCCATCGCGACCGGCTCCCTCCTGGCTCCATTTCGCCGGAGTCACCCAAGGGCTCTCTCTGGCCAGGAGAATCCATCCCCTGGCCGGCTTCCCATTTTTACTTGGCAGCTGGACCTGTAATGGCTGAGGGCTCTTTTCAGGACGCCCGTCTCTGCCTGCAGCGACAGGAGCTCTTTTGGGGCCTGGAGGGCAATCTGGCCGTAGATGAAAACCGGGAGAATCCATCCCCCGGCCGGCTTCCCATTCTTACTTGGCAGCTGGACCTGTAATGGCCGAGGGCTCTTTTCAGGACGCCCGTCTCCGACTGCAGCGACAGGAGCTCTTTCGGGGCCTGGGGGCAATCTGGCCGTAGATGAAAACCAGGACTTGGTGGAGCTGGCCTCACCGGCTGTTCTGGTCATACTAGGTGGGCAACAGAAGGGGTTATATGGGGCCAGGTGGCTCTTGCTCCTCCCTTATCCTCGCTTGGTTGGTCTGCCTGTCTCTCTGTCTGGTGACCTCTTCTGTCCCTTGTTTTATCGCCACGGTAGCAGCACTAATTCGCTTTCGAAGTATTACTTATGTCCCATTGTTACCTGTGGGTGGCTGGAGGCTTAAGGACACCTTTTCCCCTTGAAAAATACTTCAGGATCATGTGCTTAAGTCCATTTTTCAGTATTTGGAAAACAGAGTCCAGCCCCCGCCCCGTCTCCTCTGTGGATGCCTCCCAGTGGGAATCCTGTTCAGCAGCTCCCTGGGCAAGCGGGTTCTGTGCCCAAATTGACAGCCCCGAGTCCTCTCAGACACAAAGCTCTGGGCAATTTCAAGGTGTCTGCCACTTGGTTCCCTTCTGCACTCTGACGTGGCCTCTCATGGCCGGCCATTGACTGTCCATTCACCGTGATTGGCACCCGAGGGTGAGGAGGTCACCCCGGATCCAGGTGGAGCTACCCAACAGGATTCTGGCCACCAAAGGCCCTGCTGAGTGGGAAGTGGTAACTCTTACGCACATCCCATGGGTTCGGCCGACCTCTTCTAGCTAGACCCAGTGATTCAGCTTCGCCTGCTGAATGGGAACAGTTATGTGTCGCATACGAGGAGACTCAGGCTCCAGTTTTCTATCTTG